CTTGGTAGCCCAGGCTGGCCTCGAACTCACAGAGATCCACCTGGCTCTGCCTCCCAAGTGCTGGGATTAAAGGCGTGCGCCACCACCGCCCGGCTGTAAACAGAATTTTATAAGGGCAATCTAGAATTTTATATATAATCATTTATCAATGTGTAAACATAGAAAAAAGACAATATTAGCTTTGCAAAAACTCGTGGATTTACCTCTTGTGAGAGGTGTGTGCTCCGAGAGGGGGTGCTTCACTGACTGAGAATCAATCAGAGAAGAAAAGCAAGCACCAGAGCGGTTAATCCAGAGAGAAGAAGGCGGCGGCACTGCCCTCCTCCCCCGAGCGGAGAGCAGGTGTGCCAGGCTGAGTGTGAGTGTGACTGACGGCTGTGAGGCACAAGCAGCCTGGACGGGAGGGAACAGGTGAGAAAAGGACTGCGGGCTGCCTTAGACTCTCAAAGTATTTCCTAGCCCTGACGACAGAGAACTTACTGTCCAGTGCTGAAGACACACTGTTTGCTTAAGTGCATTACATCACACAATTATCAGCCCCAAGAGAACGTAACTAGGCAAACTACAGAAGAAGAACCGTAATGACGCTGGGAAAGAATGGTGTGTACTCTTCACAGCAATGCCAACCCCGAGAACAGAGGACTTGGATGTCTGCATCAGGACAGCGAGAGGGCTGTGCTGAAGGAAGAGGATGGGTCACCAGGTGAATCAAATACCGAGAAACACAAGTCAACAGAACACAAGACCCGCCTGTCCTGAAGTACGGGGTCAATCCATGGAAATGCCGAGACACGGTTTCCAGAACTGGTTAACAACCATCCTCTTACTTAGGGTGGTTGTTAGAGAGAATCCTAACTGAGAATCTTCATTTTGAAAACAGCCAAGTGGGGCTTGGAGAGATGGCTCACTGCTTAAAAACACTGGCTGGTCTTACTAAGAACCTGGGTTTGATTCTCAGCACCCACAGAGATTCACAACTGTCTTTAACTCCAATTCCAGGGGATCTGATGCCATATTCTGCCTCCTCAGACACCAGGCACACATGTAGTGCATGATACAAATGCAGGCAAATATCCCCAGATATGTAAAATGAAAATAAATCTTTAAAAAAGAAAGGAAAACAGGTAAGCAGGCTTTAACTCCATGGGAGAAAAGAAATCCCACAAGCGGTAGTGTGCACCGGTCACTTCCCTCTGTGAGGACAGACAGTCCCGGGGCGTGACTTACTGCAGTCCTAACTGCAACTCTGTGCAGCCTGTCAGCAGTGAACAAAGTGCGGACATCAACTCTGTCTGATAACTCTCACTTAAAAGCAAGGTTGGACTGGGACAGCATGAAATGACCACATCACTCTATTATCAACATGACATCTATAAAAAGGCATTTTCACAGAAGAGACACGCTACAGCTAAGAGATCTCTAATGTCTCCCAAATGACCAAGAAAACCCGATGCGACCAGGCTTCCTACAGGAGACAGGTACCTGCTATCGCCCTCCTTGACCGGCACACACGACTGATTGCTAATGTGGACAAACAAGTTCCGAAGAACCACCACCCCTGGGCTGTGGTTTTTCAAGGTCACTTCCTTAAGAGCTTGCCCCTTTTCCAGACAGAAATATTAGGAAGGTAGTCCACTCATCCTTATACAAGTTAGCTCCCTTGGTTTGAAAGCATGCTGTCAATAATGAAAACTCTTACTCTGGCCTCTCGTTGATTGTTCCCAATTTTGCTAGAAGTCTAAACAGTCTTCCATTTTGAACCTCCTATAAAACATTTTAAAAACAGAATGTTAATGTCCAGGCCGAATATAAACAAAAGTTTTAAGAATGGTACTGTGCACCCATATTATTCTTACACAATAAATCCCAACACCGCACTTCTGGGTTATGCTCTTAAACATATACCTATTTTGTTCAGAGTCACACTCGAGGAGATTATGCAATTGATCAATTCTAGGAAGTATTTAAAATACTCACATTAAACAAAACCAAGATTTTAGTAGACCCGATTACAGCCAAGTCATGAATGACTAGGACATTAGAGCCTACACTAACACCCAGTGTGGACAAGGAGAGCACTGCAGTCCCAGCCAGCAGCACAGTGAGTACTGTATGCCAATTTACACAGTACCAGACTTGACCTTAGCAAGGTCTTCCTCAATGACATCATTTCTCATCTGAGCAGCGTCCAGTTGAGTATAAAACCGAGCACCAATCATAGGCATGATGTCATTCACACTCCGCATCCTGTTTTGGTCAGTCAGTAAGTACCTATCGAGACGGAGAAGAATTCCGTGAACGGCCAGGGCAGTGAAGCGCACACACGCTGCAGTCACTGCACTTGTCATGCAGATTTTGTCCCGCGCGTCCACTGTGACAGATGAGGCAGGAGGACAGGACCACACTTACCCATGCCCACCCTTGTTTCAACAGTGCTACACGCAATGCCCGGGAAGGAGCCTAGGAGTGTGAAGCTCACACTGGGAGGCTGAGGGTGGGAACTTCCCCTCTGTTCTAAGATAACCTGCCTCTATTTTTGCCAAGGGTCTTGCTATGTTACCCAAGAAAGCTTTAAATTCTTGGGTTCAATTGATCATCTTGCCTCATATTCTTTGGACTACAGGTACATGCCACCACACCTAACCAAGTAATTTTTTAGTCTGAAAATGAATCTTCAATTGTGCAAAAATGACTTAGCCAGAGAGAAACCGTCCTCTGCTCCATGATTTCATGTGCCACCTGTCCCTTCTGGGCCATCTCTACAGACTAAGAGAGCAGGAGGCACCGGTTCACCTCCCTTTCTATCACCACCGAGGGAGGAAGTCTTGCTCTTTCAGGAGCCACCTGCAGAATCCACTGACGCTCAGTCATGTGGCCACTACTTCCTCTAAAGGTAAGTCCTTCCTCACCTCCTTGCAAGTGTGCTACAGGAAACTGTCCTCAGCTATCACTGCCTGCAAACAGCTTCCTTGCTTTTGTCTTTAACATCTTTCTTAAACTTGTGCGTGTGTGTGGCAGTGGGGTATGACACCTAAGTGCAGATGCCCACGGAGGCCACAAGAGGGATTTCATCCCCTGCAGCTGCTGTGGTTACAGCAGTTTTGACTCAGGTGCTGGCTGTGCAAGGGCGGTACACACTCTTGACTGGAGAGCCATCTCTCCAGCCCTTCAATGTTTTATAAGCCGATAAAAGATGGATGGAATTATGCTAATCTTCTTAATAAGTATCCTCGGGTTTTGGCATACACCAACATTCTTTTGATGAGTAGATGAATGATTATAACCACACAAATTATCTTAGTTATCCACAGGAACCACTGATGTTTACATTTACCTAATCATACTGAAACCCGTTACCAGCTATGTGACGACAACTTGATGAGGTCCTCTACCTTATTGTGCCTCAGTTTTGTCTCTAAAATGGGGCTAACAATGACACTCCATTTACAGATGTTAGAGAATTAAGTGCAATTCATTTCAAGCACTTCATAAGTGACTTATGTAGCTCGATAGATGTTAGTTTATTGTCACTAGTGAAGAATGCCTTTTCATTTACTTACTTTTTTCTGGGCAATTTTTCAAGTATTTAAAGCCTCATATATCATTATCTACTTTCAATAATTATTAACATAAAGTGAATTTAATTACTATCCTCAGCTCCTACTTTTTCAAAAGGGAACTTTTAGAGTTTATAGTCTGCAACTATCCAATACAATCTGGATGTTGTAAACTAAGGCTAGAATCATACACAAAACATTTTCCCCCCAAAAGCTATTTTGTATTAATTATTTCTAGGTCCCAGGCATACACTGGCTTCTGGTGTCTCTCAAGCAAGACAGGGAAGCCAGTTTAATGAGGAACAGGTGGGCAGCCCCATCCTCCATCCCCCAGTTCCATAGCCCAGGGCTCGTCCAAAAAGAAACTGGCCCATTCAGGACTACACAGAAAGGGCACAAGGGATCGCTGGAAGCTGAAGAAACCACTGCTTATGATCAATGAATTCTGATGGCTTCTAGAACGTAACAGGGAAAATCAGCATCTTTCCCCTGACTAAACTCACAGCTGTAATACAAGTTGGTTGTCCTCCCCTGACAGCCTCACTAGACGTGTCTGAGATAGCAAGCGGTCCTTCGGGGTGATAGTAGTCCACAGTGGGTCTCTGAAGTCAAATTCATTCTAAACGTACACTCAAAGAGTTCCTGGAATCTTCCATTCTCTGAATTGCATGCCTAGACCAGAGACTCGCATACATAACTAGACTGTGAAGGAGGCTGCCTTACAGTCTCTCACTATGTAGAGCAACACTGGCCACGGGAACTCAAGAGACGGCAGAAATGTTCTGTCTGTGCTGTCCATGACTTAGCTGCTGGGAGCAACATCTGTGGCTGTGGAGCTCTTGAAATATGACTAGTGTCACCCAAGAGCGAGCAGCTAGGATGTCGGTGCAACTCTAGAGGGCGCTCTCTGACCAAGTGGCTAGTGGCTAATTGAAACAAACTGGTTTATGAATTGTAAGAAACATACAAAGATTAGGACATCAGCAGCTGCTGTGTCTGCCTGACTTTATAAACAGTGGGAGGCTCCTATAGAAAGCTCTATCTTAACCATAGAGGACTACTCTGATTCATGTAATGTTAATACTTACAAGATGAGGTTCTTCAGGTCAGAGGAGTAGTTGATTGTCACCAGTTCCATGGCTTTCTGTAAATTCTCTCGCTGAATTCCTGCCAAAGAGTTGCAAGCCAAAGCCAACACGACTTTTCCTAATGATATCAGATCTGCTTGCTGACACGAGAGAATAAACACAACTTAATTTCTACTTCACAGGTATACTTTCAACACACTGAACACATCACCAACAGGAAAAGCACATTATAAACACACAGGAGAGAGGACTCAGGACAGGTTCTCAGCATGGTTACTTGTTAGAATCACTATGACCTGACTGAAAGGGATTTCTGAGCCTCTCTTTTAGTTTCATTGAATGAATAGGTCCAAAATGTTTAGAGCATCTAAGTCACCCTAAATGAATGTATTTCTAGGACTACACTTCTTGTTGTTGTTTTTAATTTTTTTATTTTCTGAGACAGGGTTTCCCTGTGTAGTTTTGGTGCCTGTCCTGGATCTCACTCTGTAGACCAGGCTGGCCTTGAACTCACAGAGATCTGCCTGGCGCTGCCTCCAAGTGCTGAGATTAAAGGCGAGTGCGCCTGGCTAGGACTACACTTTTTGACAAACATTTACTATAAGCAATTCATATTCCAATTACGGGGCTGCTGCTTTCAAAAGCTTCTGTGACCATCGGGGAAGGGTGGCAGCGATGCGTGGCAGGTGCCAGGAACTCCGCGGTCAGCTCCCTCCTCCCCTTTACTCGGGTCGTCTGGCTGACATGGCCAATGTCTTTAGCTGCTGAGCCATCATCTCACTTGCCCCAGGGTTTGCAGTTTTATTTGGAAAATGTACACACAGCTGACAGGCTTCTTCCCTGTGACACGGAGCTGACGGCCACTACATGCTGGCTCTGCTAAGACCCCTGTGACTAAACAGATACATTTCTCATTGCATGAATCCAAGCTGGCCATGTGAATGTGAAGACAAGACATCCCACTCACTACAAGCAAGCATTCACCTGACTCCAGAACACACGCATCATAGAACATCAAAGTGGCACAGACCGCAATGGCAGCTTGTGTCTTTGTTTCCCAAATCACTAACAACATTCCTTATTATAAATAATGAATTCTTTAACTTTTCCCCCATTTCCTGTTTTTAAAATGAGCTACCCTGAAGCTTTCCTTCTCAAACAGTGATTCTCAACCTTCCCGATGCTGTGACACACTTAATATAGTAGGTCCTCATGTTGAGGTGACTCCCATAAAATTCTTTTCTTTTCTTTTCTTTTTTTTTTTTGGTTTTTTGAAGCAGAGTTTCTCTGTGTAACAGCCCTGGCTATTCTGGAACTCTCTTTGTAGACCACGCTGGCCTTGGACTCACAGAAATCCACCTGCCTCTGCCTTACAAGTGCTTGGATTAAAGATAGTGTAGTGTAGCCGGGCGGCGGTGGCGCACGCCTTTAATCCCAGCACTTGGGAGGCAGAGACAGGTGGATCTCTGTGAGTTTGAGGCCAGCCTGGTCTACAGAGTGAGAGCCAGGACAGGCATCACAACTCCACAGAGAAACCTGTCTCAAACAACAACAACAACAACGAACTGTAGTGTAAATGCCTATACACAGGGTGTCTGTTATACAACCACTGGGAAAGAGTCGTCTGACTCCAGAGAGTCACCACACACAGGTTGTGAACCACTGCTCTACAAGGATTCCAGCTACTTCCAACTCCATGAAACAGAAGGGCCCTCTGCAAAGGCAACAGTAACGTGCCTAGAAGAACGTGGTTGCTCTAAGCATGGAATATATTTGAAGTAATTTTTATTGAGGGTTTTTATAAATGCTTAAAATCTGAGGTATCATCTCAATTATTGCCATGTATGAGTTTATTATAGAAGTTTTCGAATCTGGCCATATACTAAAAGCACCCAAGGAACTTAAACACAAACCAAACAAAAATGATGCCTAGTGACCTCCTCCTCGCCTGAGTGTTGGAGTCATCCATTAGGGATATGGTTGAGGGGTTGGCATCTCTCGAAGTTCCTAGTGATAATGTTCCTAGTGGCCTTGAAGAGATGTGAAATGAGTATGTCTGGGAAGCCAGGGATTTTAAGGCAATCACCAGTGAACTTCCTCCCTCCATCAGGTTTCCTCCCATTTGTTGAATTCAGGAGTTTTCCCCAGATTCATTTTTTAGTTTTTTTTCCCTGATTCTTGGTTTCTTTTTCTGATTCTATATATGACTCTACTTATGTCCACTTTACTGAAAGTCAGTCTCTAGTCACGCATCTGAAACAGACTATAAGAAAAAAGACTACAAGAAACAATGTACTCCCCTCTCCTGTCAATACACTCCCCCTTTGGGACCATCTTTAAAACTCTCCTATGCCTCACTATAATAATCTATATAAAAATCTACATTTATACAACTAAGAAAATGGAAAGAAACCCGATACATCCATTTTACTGAATAATAAAGAAAGCGACAATTGGTTGTAAGTTGACAGAGTTTATAAATGAAAGCAGTTTGTGACTTACAAAATGGTTGCCCAGGATGGTAAAACAGTTGGTCATTTGTAATTCAAGGTATCCACCCCCCCACCTCTTTTTTTTTTTCTTTTTTTAGGTTTTTTGAGACAGGGTTTCTCTGTGTAGCTTTGCGCCTTTCCTGGAACTCGCTCTGGAGACCAGGCTGGCCTCGAACTCACAGAGATCTGCCTGCCTCTGCCTCCCGAGTGCTGGGATTAAAGGCGTGCGCTACCGCCGCCGCCGCCACCACCCAGCGCCCCCCCCCACCTTTTAAAAGAGCTTCATTTTATAAGGTATTCCACAAAAAATTAAGTTGAAATAGTATCCATTTGCAAAAAAAAAAGAGTGAGTCAGAAAAGATTCAAACTAGTCTTACTTTGTATTCCTAAGTGATTTTTTAGTGCTGGAGGTTAAACCCGGGGCTTTATGCATGGCTCCTTAGTCAAATACTAATTTCCAAAAACCAATTCTATTCAAAACACAAGAGTGATAACTCTAAGGCAGGAGTTTCATTTTTTAATGTGGAAAAGAAGTTTCTAGATTCCTGATATACTGCCTCTAAATATTATCCAAAAGTGTAGTGGTGTACCTTTCTTAAGACACATGCAGACCACTAGTATTCAGTAATACTCTTCACATTTTGGCTACCTTGTAAGATAGCCTATGCTCACCTCAAACTCACTGTCTTTCCTCCAACCTCCTCCTTAGTGCTAGGACTGGAGGCATGGACCACCCCCATCTAGCTCATCAGTCACTTTTGGAGGAAAAGAAATTTAGGCCAATTAATTAGTAAGTATAAAGCAGAAGAAAAGTCACTAAAAAATAACATTCCACAAAAAGTGAAGGGATAAATTGCATTTAGATAGAATAAAGTGGCTTCAGGATGTGTGCGTATATGCGAAATCAGGATTTATCCCCACAGTGCCTACCAGATGCCACTACCAACATCAAGGCAGCCTGGTAAGGCAGGCACGGCCGAGGGGAATTAAGACAGGAAAGATACATACAGTATGTGTGCAAAGGTTCCACTAGATCTCAGGCAGCATGGCTGTGGTTCAACAGCCACAGACTGCTGCATGAGGTTCAAGAGTGAACACTATATGGGATTCATTTTCTTACCCTATCATTTCCTTTCCTTTTTGTTCTGAATTTTTTTCTTACACTAAAGTAAACTAAAACTTTCTTTAGAAACAAACAGAAGTTGAAAAGAGGTGAACAATGGGAAGTATCTCTTCATGTGATGAAACCATTCTGTCTTGCACCAAACCTCAGGTTAACAAGCATCTAAACAGGAATGAATATGACTTCTTACACAAAGAACTAAAATCAGCTTTAGTGACAGTTCCATATCGCAGTGTGAACTAAGGGGAGACAACTGACAAAGATCAATTCTTTACTTTAAATACACAGGTTACTTCCACACAGTAATCAAAATGGAGCACCTACTCCTTCCTCCCAGGGACCGTCTTCGCTGTTTTTGGCAGTACTGGAGATCGAATGCTCCAGAGCCTGCTGGAGTATGCGAAGAACCACTCTACCCCTGAACTACACTCCCAGACGCAGGGTTGGGTTCCTGTATTTCTACACAATAGCATATTAATAAGGAAATAAACAGCTAAGTAGCTTAGAACACTGTGGAGCCCGACTCAGTACTAACAGAATGAATTAGAGAATAATGAAATTCTGGTAATATACAGGAAGCGACAGACTTGACAGCAACAGAGGAAAAGCACAGAGCAGGGTGCTCTAACGCCACTCCTTTCAAAATAATATAGTGGGACAAGCACTCAAAAGCCAAACTAGTAGGTCTGGAAAGGTGAAATAAGCTGTAACATCTAATATAGTCCACTCATCTGACTGAGACAAATATATCCCAGTGTTAAACAGCTCGAGTCTGCTCGTATTAACGGTCACTCATCCTGTCTGTTTCAACAGCAAGGCTGCACTACTTACATCACAGAGGTTAAGACACCACTCCAGAGACCTGAGAGTCAGACTTAACACCCTCAAGACTTTAGCCAGGCGGTGGTGGCGCACGTCTTTAATCCCAGCACTGGGAGGCAGAGCCAGGCGGATCTCTGTGAGTTCGAGGCCAGCCTGAGCTACCAAGTGAGTTCCAGGAAAAAGGCGCAAAGCTATACAGAGAAACCCTGTCTCGAAAAACAAAAATAAAACAAAACAAAAAACCTTCAATACTTTAAAACCAAGTTTAGCTTAAAAAAAAATACAAAGAAAATAAGCTTTAAACACCCATATGAATTCTACTCACCTGGTATTGAGCCATTAATGCCAAAGGATTATTGTTTTGACTGTTATCAAATGTTAAAACGTCAAAAACTCCTACACAATTTACTCGCAATCTGTAAGGAGCAAAAATTTAAAAAAAAAAATTATACTTTTCTTAGTATATACTAATGAATATTTAACATTGCCTAATATTACAAAAGGACCTAAAATGTAAATGACTGTAACTTCCACCTACCTCCTCCCCACCCACAAAACCAACCATTTCAGAGTCATTCAATGGTCTGACTAACTTGTAAAAGTCAGTCGCTGACAAAGTCGGGGTGATAACCCTGAGCACATAGAGCTCTTTGCGTTACTCATGAAGGAAACTACTCACTTGCCAACACTTGCTAAAGATGCAGCTGGCACTGTTCCAAGCATCTTACGGACATTAACTCAAACCTCTTCACGAATTTTTAAACTAAGGGGAAAGTGTCACAGCACAGTCTAATGCCACTGCTGAAGCTCAGAAAAGCCAAGAACGCCCTCAAGCCACCTACAGGCAAGTAACAGCGAGAACATGGACCAGGACCCCGTTGGTCTTTACTGCTGTTAGTTTTTACTGGGTGTGCATGCACAAGGTCTCTGTTATAGCCCAGGCTGCTAGCCTCCCAAGTGACGAGGCTATAGGTACGAACACCAGGATCCAGCTACGCTCTTCAGTTCCGTGTGCTGCACAGCACAAGGCAACTCTCAAAAACTACGGCAACTGAAGTCAGGTGGGGTCAGGTATTTGTTCCTCACTGTATTATTCTCAGGGTTAGGAACTGACTAACAACAATCATCTAGCAACTTGAGAGTGAGTTCCAAGACAGCCAGAGCTGTTACACAGAGAAAGCCTGTCTTGAAAAACCAAAGGCGGGGTTGGGGGGCAGGGGGGCAAACTGCAGACTTTCCAGATGAACAGCCCTGCCGATCTGAAACTGACTTATGGTCAGATAGAGAATAATGTTCTATAGGAAAAAGTGGTATTAACACTTTGTCTTTATTCCCAGATACCTTGCCAATAGTTCTGGGGGTGTTCACAACCATCTATAACTCCAGGGAACCCAATACCTTCTTTGGCTTTCATGGGCACTAAGCACATGTAGTATGCATACATGTATACAAGCAAAACAGTTGCACACTCAAAATAAATTTTAAAAAAAAAACAACCAGAAACCCAGATTCAAAAATTTCAAAAATTACTACCTTGTTTTGCCAGTTATCAGAATCTTTGTTGGATCCATTACTCGACACGCCAAACCTGCTGTATGAATGGTGCGCAGAGCAGAACTCAGCTGGACAACATATGCCCAAATGAGAGACTCGGGCAACAGTCCAGCATGCTGCCTGGGCAGTGGTCCATCATGCTGGCCTAGAAAGCAAATGGATTTTCATGCATGTTCACAACAGGAAGGACTTAACAGAGAAGCCCGAATGTTTCTAAAACCGAGATTACAGGTTTTATGTTGCTAAAGTAGCAGAGGTCTCATGACTGTTTCTTTTCTTTTGACCAAATAGATATTGAACAAGAACAAAAATTTAAAAAGCAGTACCCGTATTAATAATGAAACAATCTACTCTGAAAGTAGTTCCCTTTAGTCTAACAGCTTCTGTAGGTGTTTTTGTCTATTCTGTGCTCCTGGGAATTTAACCCAGGGACTCTCACACACTGGACAACCGTCTGCCACTGAGTACCACCCTCAGCTTTGAAACTGCTTTTTCGTCACCTTCTAGGTCAATGTTAATATTTAACTAAGTAACAGAGACATAAAAACTTCATTCATATCTTGTTATTACTTCAGTGACCATAACCTTGTAGCCATATGGTTGTAGACCAATTTTCTGTGAATGGGGCTAAAATGTGAGAGTCAAATGGTTAATTATGAATAAATATAATAAATAGAAAGTACAAGCCAGGTGTCCTCATATAATCCGGCCCTTAGGAAGCAATGAGAAGGACTGCTGCAAGTCTGAGGCTAGGCTGGTCTACGTAAGAACTCAGGGCCTGACAGTCAGGGCTACAAAACAAGACCTTATTTTAAAAATCCTGACTACAAAAAAGTAGTTATGTCTCGGGACAACATTTTTAATAAGCACATATAAAACAAACCATTTCATCTCAATTTGGATAGAATGAAGACATTACATTCTACAGAGAAGTCTTAGAAGTCTCCAAACAGCTCTTAGCAGAAGATGAGGATGTCAGAGGACCCAGGAGAGCCCTGCAACAGTGCACTGAGGGTGGAGCGCAGCTCAAGAGGACAGAACCCGTAGCTTAGCCCACTGCACCAAGAGGTTTTTGAAATTTTATTTATTTCTATTTTCTTTATGAGTGCTCTGCATGTATACCTGCAGGACAGAAGAGGCCATCAGATCCTACTGTAGATGGTTGTGATCCACAACGTGGTTGCTGGGAATTAACTCAGGACCTCTGGAAAAGTAGTCAGTGCTCTTAACTGCTGAGCCATCTCTCCAGCCCCATGAAAAAAACTACTATACAATTGATATGGTCATAAGGAAAAGTAGTACTGATTATTCTGTTTTATTGTTGTTTGTATGTAGCCCTGGCTGTCCTGGAACTTACTATGTAGACCAGGCTGGCCTTGAACTCAAGATCTGCCTGCATCTGCCTTCTAAGTGCTGAGATTGAAGGAGTGAGACATTACATCCATCTATTCTGTTCTGCTTTGGAGACCAGAATCTTACTCTGTAGTCATTATTCCTAGCTACTTCTGGAGTCACATGACTGGACATGTGCCGTCAGCAGTCAGGCAAAACAATTAGTCACTCCAGGGCCTTCATGTGCAGTGTGACCACGTAATCTATGCACATGTGTGACGTAGCTACGTAAGCCCATATATGCATGTTCAAGGTGACCTATAAAAGCAGGCTCTACCCCCTCCCGTTCTCTCCCTCTTGCCCGAGTAGCACACGCACCTCCCCCCTTCTTTTCCGCAGGCCTGCCCACCTCCACTCTTCTCTTCCTTAATAAAACTCTCACAGCGGGCTCCACTGCACCGCGTGTTTTCTCACACCCGGTAAACAACGCCGACCAATAAATAACATTGGTGCCGAAACCAGCATCTATACTGGCTTGCCCTTAGGGTCCTGACAGGCTATACCTCAGCTCAGCCACTAAAGGCACCCCCTGGGCAGCTCCTGTCTCTCTCCCCCTTCCTCCTCATCCCCAGGGACTGGTCCCTGTCCCCTTTTCTATCTCTTCTCTCCCCTCCCCTCAATAAACCTCCTACATGGGCCCTGTTGTATGTTATGACTCCAACTTGTGGCAATGCTCCTGTCTCCGTTTCCTAAGTGCTAATTATAGGAGTGAAGACTTACAGCAAGCACAAAGGACTTACTTCCCATCAGATTTGATTCTAACTGTACCATTCACTGCACTTGATTGTAATTTCTACATAATTCGATATAAATACAATTTCTTTATCTCATATCATCTCCATCTTCTAAATAATGTACTTCTAACAAATGTGCCTTTTTAAAGAAGTTGGTGCTAAATCAATAATTACAGAGTAAGAAACCAATAGACATTCATGTGTGTATAGTGTATTATGTGAGGTTATAAGAGTGTAAAGTGGGCGGGGGTGGGGTTGGGGGGGGGGAGATGAGGTGGTGGCGGTGGCAGTGGTGGTGCACGCCTTTAATCCCAGCACTCGGGAGGCAGAGGCAGGTGGATCTCTGTGAGTTCGAGGACAGCCTGGTCTACAGAATGAGTTGGGCTATACAGAGAAACCCTGCCTCGGAAGGAAAAATAAAAAAAAGTGTAAAATGGAAGGACTGATTCTGAGAAAATGTAAATACTGAGATACATGTTTCCAATACAAGAACAAGGCCGGGTGGTGGTGGCACACACCTTTAATCCCAGCACTCGGGAGGCAGAGCCAGGTGGATCTCTGTGAGTTCGAGGCCAGCCTGGGCTACCAAGTGAGTTCCAGGAAAGGTGCAAGGCAACACAAAAAAACCCTTTAAAAAAAAAAAAAAAAAAAAAAAAAAAAAAAAATGTATTAAAAGAACAAAATACAGATTTTTTTGAATTGGTAAAATGCTCTGAGTAGTTCTCAACAGGGAACACTGGCAGTGTCTGTGGCTCTTTCTGGCTGATCAGAGCTGAGTCAGAGGAGTATCCAGTACACAGTACCACTGACCACCAATCTGCAATATAGAAGAGCCCTCACAACACCAAGGGTGCAGGCCAAATGGCAGCAGTGCTCAGGTGAAGACAGCCAGGCATCAAAGCCAACAGCCACTTCACAGGTGGCGCTACAGTAATTCGAGCCGTAACTAGATTCATCTTCAGGGAGGGTTGCCCCACAATCAAAGGAGAAATGACCACACTGTGTGACCAGGTCTGCAATGTCCAACAACTATGTAACCACAGCTTTCTTCGTTCAACTGCCAGAATGCAGAAAGCTAGGTTATGACAAACCCAAGTATTATGTTTTGTGTTCAAGAAAATCTTAAGTAAACCACAGTTACCAATGTGATGCTTCATTCTTGGTTCACACCATACAATGAGACTGTCCACAAACACATAAATTTTGACATCTCAAAATGGATCTACATTTTCTCTGGTATCATTTTCCTTCTAAATAAGCACATTTTAGACTAATTATAAATTTTTAGGTTTTTTTGAAACAGTTCAATTATAAAATGACTTTAGATATTAGAAAGAGCAGGAAAAAAAAACTCCATTTTTAAGTAAAGTTACTTTAAGAAACCTGACTTGACACGTAATAAACAAAAGCACGTTTAGGGAGTAATTTCATAAATGACCATACAGGCACACTGGACAGTAAGACTATCAAATTATGTTTACAGGGTACAAAAGCGGGGAACTCCCCAGAGTCAACCAAAGATACTGGCATCAAGTCTGAGTCAATACACACACTTCTAACTTGCTGCAAACCAACCCCAATTCTTTGAGATGCCTTAAAAATGTACACTAGGGCCCTCAAAATGATGAGAATAAATTTGTGTATGTTTTAATATGAAACTATTGCTCCCCAAACCAAAGCATGCATCAAAACACAGTCTGCGGGCACCTCTCTTACCCCACTTTCTCTTTGTGAAGTAGGCATCGGCATTCGGGTCATTAAAGTGTCTGCTCATCATAGTTTCTCCTCCAGCATGGAAATCATACGCGAACACAAGCGCTTATAAGCAAACAGAAACATACGTCACAGAAGTCTGGCTCCAGACAGCGAACTCACCACCACAGGACCAGTTACTCACAGGGCTCGGCAAATGCTTTCGTGGTAAACACTTCACGCAGAGTTACAATATTTGAGTGTTGAATTTTCTTCCACATATCAACCAACACCATGCACTTTGTGTTAACCAGACGAAAACCTAAAGAAGAAAATTTTTTATTATAATCAACTGCAAATGACAGCTCACGAGAAATACGAATTTCTAAAAATGGTCTATGTTTTAAGGTATCAAGCTCAAAAAAGGGGGGGGGGAGAAAAGAAAAAAAGAAACCTTGTCCTTCAAATGTGTATGATAAAGCCCTGTTTATAGGAGCATATGGATCATCTTTAGCTCAAGTAATACACTGACAAAAGAAACCCATCTTCCTTACCGTGTATCCTCCGAAGGCAATATGGCAGATCATCTTTGCTGTTTACAGCTTTGTAGCAAGATGTGATATACCCAAAATTACTTGATTTCTGTATCCGGTTGGGGGGAGGCAGTGGCTCCAGAGGGAAGAGGCTATGGTAGCTGTCAACTTCAGTGGGGACTGCTGAGTAAGTCACAGGAAGACAATTTTCAATGAAAAAGAAATCAAATCTATCACCATTCACCGACAGATCCTAACAGATCTGTGTCATGAGGAGGATTTTACTGGATTGATAATACCTCTACATATACAAACTGCAGCTCCTGTACCAATAAACCAGGCTACCAAGCAGCCAAAGCAAAACTCAAGTTCACACACTCAAAGTCAGTTCCAGTCTCTTGGCAGCAAAAGATGGGATTTTTGTTCTCAGAAATAATTACCAGAACTGAGTCATTACTTGATTAAACATTTTTATTCTAATATTTATAAAAACCAATACAGATTTTTTTATCTTTAAAGCATAAAGAAATTTGAAGTAAGTTTCATTAAATCAGGAAGTGTGTTCACCCACGTACAAGTCTGCAAGCACATCTATGGGTGTACCTATCGACATGACAGATGGCACTGAACTCTTACAAACCAACCTCTGGCTCAAGTAAGCACAACTGGAGGAAACTATGCTTGCCTCAGTAGTTAAGAGGAAGGCGCAGGAGGGAAACCAGCTACAACAGGTATTTGCAACAACCTTTGGATGGCTACCGCGGTTTTAACACCAAGCAACTATACAAGGTGAAGACAAACTCTATTCAACAGACAGGATTTCCAGAGGATGCACTATCTGGCTTTGGAAGCTGTACATTTTGAATCTGTGTGCATGGCTACGCTGAACTGAAAATGGTCCCAGGACAGAACCATCATGATCACGTCCTTCCTTCAGTCTGCCGCACTTGGGATGCACCACTACCGGACTGGATGGATTTAGGTGCCCTATGCTGCGCTGACGCTTCCTCGCGATCCCGTGGGCACACAGTTCTATGAGCTGCAGTCCTAGCCTGCACCTCTGTGGTGGGGTCTGCCCAGCCCTAAGCACCATGCACTTGTGCAGCTTTATTTCCGTTTAGTCCCTCAGAGTCCCTCTCCTTTCCACCTAGTTTAGCCCACTCTCAAGTCTTAACTTTCAAATAACAAATGGCTAGTTCTTTCTGTCCTCGTGACTCTCTTTAGAGCCTAAGAGTCAGTGCTATGACCAACTCTGCTTTTGAAATAGCTATTCTGTGTATAATTGTCTTATATAAGCCTGCATTTTTCCTCGTCTGTAAGCTTCTCCAAAGTAAACACTCAATTTCATTAATACAGTATTATCACTAATATGTAGGAAGTACTCAATTATAGATTTCCCATAAATTATTTAAATTAAGTCCTCACAAGATAGCTGGGGAAAATTTTTTCTATCTTTTGATTCTTTATGGAGATTACATAAATCATTCAAATGAAAGGTAGCAGAGTTAAAATTAGAATTATATTCATATGTCTCTCCTTCATGCTTCTTTATTATAGAACACACTACTTAACGCGGGTTTGAAAGTAACGCCGAATCAGTCAGTACTTGTTTTATACTTGAGTCCAAAGCAGCAGATTATAGATTCAGGACTGGGGATTCAGCTAGGTCTTAAGCAGCATGCATGAGGCTCTGGGTTCCTTGTCCCACAGCCAAGGATGAAATGGGCAGCAAAAACACATGTGCTTTGCCTAAGGAATCAACAGTATCTCAGTGTCTGACTCTACGGAATGTGTCTCATAGCTCTGCAGACCACAGGGAATTGAAAGAAATCTCTAGGAAGGAATAGTCTGTCCTGTGCAGTAGTGGTTCTACCCATGTCTTTACTTGACAGAAACCACAGGAACCTCAAACCCTTAAATGGTGCGGACTATTTTTTTGTTCTGGTTATATTCATTTATTCAATGTGTCTTAGTGTGGACATTTAACATCACTGTCTTACCAGTCGACAAGTGTAGAACACCCTTCCACTGTGACCCCTTCAAATTCTTCCAGCAATTCCATGATAGTATCTCTTTGGCTATATTTATTATTCCTTCACTGGTATATGCTTATTTGTTATCTATGAGCTATTTTGAGAAAACTATTTCTGAATGTTGATTTTTGTATACCACAACTTTGCTGAATTTGAGTATTGTTCTAGAAGTTTTCTGGTACAGTCTTGTGATTTTTAGAGCTTGCCATCTGCTGTCTAACTGGATGCCTTTATTTCTCTCTTTTGCCTGACTGCTCTGGCTAAGGCTTGGAGTACAGATCTGAATGGAAGGGGCAAAAGTGGCATCCTTGTCTTGTTCCAAACGTTAGAGAAAAAGTTTTTGATTTGTCCCTATTCACTATTAGCTGCTGGCTTGTTATACACATGCTTTCTTGAAATGACCAAAGTTTGTCTGGCTCTAGAATCAGAAATGCTAGGTGAATGCTATATAGATATTCAGCTTCAGTTTCCAAAGCAGTTGTAGGTTCAACAATTTAAACTATCATCAATACCGAGAACATATGGATCTACAGCCTAAGTTGGCATACTGTCAGATCAATTCCTTATTTCCTTCTCTTGACACATTTATTGGTTACAAGGATTGTCCATAAAAATGCCCATATTCATCTTTGGCCATTTTCCTGGTGAGCTGTTTGATCAGGTCTTTTTTCTATTATTTGTCAATTGTACAGACTGTAAATCTCCTTCCAAGTTTTAGTTCCTCTTTAACAGCAGGTGTCTTTGGGTCATTTTCAAATGTTAGTTTAGTAGAACTTATCAATGTTTTGCTTTGTGATTTGGGCCTCCAGTGGTGGGGAATGAGCCCAAGAGCCTTGCATTTACCAGGCAAATGCTTTCCACTGAGCTAAATTCACAACCCAGTATTTCTTCACAAGAAAAGAAGCCTCTTTGTGCCCTGTATAGTGAATCTTTACCTATTAAAACAACTTACTGCTATATACAGTAGAAGCTTTAAATGTTCTTAAGCATATAAGTTGTTAAACTATTAATTCTTTTTAATGTGGCTTAATATAGGACCACCACCCCCTTATTTGTTTGTTTGTTTGTTTGTTTGTTTGTTTGTTTTTGGTTTTGTGAGACAGGATTTCTCTGTGTAGCCCTGGCTATCCTGGAACTCTCTGCAGACCAGGCTGGCCTCAAAACTCAGAAATCCTGCTTCTGCCAGGGGAGGGGAAAGAGCTATATCAATATGCATTTTACCTGGCATATCTGCTTGATCGATTTGAGCCATTGTTATTAAATGTCTGTTGATCAGCTCCTAAGAACAAGAAACAAGTATATTGATAACAGATTTTAAACAGAGCTTCCGATACCTACATTTTCCATTATAACTAAATAATATTTTTTACTTTTAATACTCCTATCATAACATATCTAGAGATGTTAATATATATGAATCCAAACCCTAGCCAGGCGGCAGTGACACATACCTTTAATCCCAGCACTCGGGAGGCAGAGCCAGGCAGATCTCTGTGAGTTCGAGGCCAGCCTGGTCTACAGAG